CTGGATAAAGAAGAGGTGGTATATTTATACAATGGAATACTACTCAGCCATAAAAACCAACAACGTAACGCCATTTGCAGCAACATGGATGCTCCTGGAGAATGTCATTCTAAGTGAAGCCAGAAAGAGAAAGAAAAATACCATATGAGATCGCTCATATGTGGAATCTAAAAAACAAAAACAAAAACAAAAACAAACAAACAAAAACAAAGTGTAAATACAGAACAGAAATAGACTGACAGAGAATACAGACTTGTGGTTGCCAGGGGGGTGGAGGGTGGGAAGGGATAGACTGGGATTTCATAATTGTAGAATAGATAAACAAGATTATACTGTATAGCACAGGGAAATATACACAAAATCTTATGGTAGCTCACAGAGAAAAAAATGTGACAATGAGAGTGTATATGTCCATGAAAGACTGAAAAATTGTGAACACTGGAATTTGACACAACATTGTAAAATGATTATAAATCAACAAAAAATGTTAAAAAAGAACCTAATAAAAGAGCAAATTAAACCTAAAGGAAATAGAAGAAAATAATAAATATAATAGCAGTAAGCCAGAAAGAGAAAGAAAAATACCATATGATATCGCTCACATGTGGAATCTTAAAAAAAAAAAAAAAGAACATAAATACAAAACAGAAACAGACTCACAGATATAGAATACAAACTTGTGGTTGCCAAGGGGGCGGAGGGTGGGAAGGGACAGACTGGGATCTCAGAATTTGTAGATAATGACAGACATATGCAGAATAGATAAACAAGATTATACTGTATAGCACAGCAAAATATATACAAGATCTTGTGGTAGCTCACAGAGAAACAAATGTGACAGTGGATATATGTATGTTATGTATAACTGAAAAATTGTGCTCTACACTGGAATCTGACACAACATTGTAAAATGATTATAACTCAATAAAAAATGTTAAAAAAATAGCAATCAGTGAAATAGGAAAGCAGATGTGCAACAGAATAAAGATAACAAAGCCAAAATTTGGTGTTTTGGAATGGTTAATAAAATTCATAAACCTCTAGCACGACTGACCAAGAAAAAGAGGGAAAATAAAAATTTTTCAGTACCATAACTTACTGGAACTAGAGGTGACAGTTTTACAACACAGTAAATATACTAAATGCCACTGAATTGTTTATTTTAAAATGGTTAATTTTATGTGAATTTTACTTCAATAAACTAGTTTTTAAGATTAAAAAATTTTAAAAACACTTAAAAATTCTCACCTCAGAAGTAAATGAGAGGACATCTTTGTATTCATATAATCTTGGTTAAAATAACATCTTTAAAGCATTCTCAGTCAAAGTGGCAAGGTCGCAATGTCTTGTGACAGTGATCTGATAAAGTGAGCACTGACCACAGAGAATGTACTGGAAATGTTAACATAATTACAAATATTCTGATCATAAACGGTACACAACTAACTTAAGGTACAACTGATTAATTTCTTAAAGTTTAGTTGTACTTGAGGGGAATCACTTGAAGTCTGGCTCATGAATTATCATGATCAACCTTGTAAGTATAGTTATATGGGAAAAATCCTTATTCTCCTCACTAGAATATATGATTTCCTTAAGAAAAAGGATGATGCCTTGCTTGTGTTGACTTTTCACATAAAACTAGCATGGTACATGTATATATTACTACTCAGTAAATGTTTGCTGAGCTACATTAAACTGCTTGACTTTCTAATAGGATATGATCCCTCTTAAGTCTGATACCAGTTGAAACTATGCCCACATAACTATGACCAGGGAATGACTTTAAAGAATTACTAGTGAAAGAATATACTCTGGAGTCTGTCAGGCCTATATTTCATCTCAGCATGATTTCCTACTGACCAACTGTATCAACTTTGGTAAATTAACTAACATCCCTGAACTTTTCCTCTTTAGAGGCAAGTTTCCTCATTTGCAAAATGAGGATGACAGTAATTTCTAGGGCACAGCGTGTGAGGACTGTGATAATAAAACAGCAGCTAACATCTGTCATGTTCCTACATTTGTCCAGCATTTTTCTATGTGCATATATGAACTATCTTATTTAATCGTGTAATCATTTCATCAACTTTTTATTACCCTCAGTTTACAGATGAGAAAACTTATGATTAGAAACTTGTCTAAGTCCTAAGTGTAGTCACCACCTGGCTGATAGGCAGGCCAGGATTTGAAAATGAGCCTGTGGTCTTACCAACTACTTGACACATAATAAAAGCTCAATAAGTGGAAGCTATTATAATTAATTTCAACTACTAGATTAATCTAAATTAGGATTATGATAGAAAGAAATCATCTTAGAGCCATTCCCCATTTGAAAATAGTAAAAGGAGACAACTTCTCAAAATAGAGAAATTGGGTAAAGAGAAATCTTCTTACTGGGAAATAGAGGTAAAACATACATAATTTTCTACTGCTGAAAGAAAAAGGACATATCTTATGATCAATTTCACCATGACCAAAGAGGCAGGAAAAGTACACAGGTGCATCAAACACCCTAGTTCATGGCTTGAGATACAGAAAGGTATCTAGGGGAAGTTTTACTAGCCTAAGGAGATTTGTGATATATATCTACAACTATATCTACATCTATATAACTATACCTATAACTATAGCTACATGTATATGTCCAAGGAAACTATGAAGCATTTAAAATTGTCCAAGAAAACTATTTTAAAACCTAATAGAAAGGGTCTAGGGATTAACATAAGCAGTGATTAATAACAATTAAGTTTGAAAAAGTTACAATTTTATTCCCAGGGGCTTTTAATTCTGAAAATATATCTCTAATTCTATATTTATAAATGTGGTATTTAGTCATTTTAGTTTCTTCTCATACTTGACTGTTTCAATTTTTTTTAAATAATGATTTAGTTATGTTCTTAATTACTTCCGTAAGAGATCTAGATATCTGGATCACAAAGCTATTTATGAAGTGCTGTAATCTATCTGGTAATGACATAGGAAATCAACAACTTTTCAATGACCACATTATATAAAAACAAAACCATCAAGTATACACAGAAGTGGGTTGAACAATGACAGACTGGAGCATAAGGGAGAAGGGACTGAAAAATATGTTCCAAGAACAAGGTCTATCTTGATAAATGTGTGTTGGCAGAGAGGGAGAAAAGGGTAAGAAGAGGAAAATAGGCAATTCCAAAAAAAACAGCCATACAGAAATCCTGAGATGGGAGCAGGGACCTAAGCAACTTGGTTAGAATACAGATTTTGTGCAAGTAAGGTAACACATACCAAGAAAGGTGTGGTCACTTACCTCAGCCCGTTGTAGAACAACCTCTTGTAGTCAACATTTATTCTACTGATATTTTCTTTTGTAAGGCGTTCAATGGTGAATAACCGGCCCACATGCTGAAAACCAGGAGCTGTGCTCCTGACATACTTCCTATCAAAACCTGGCAACCAAACAATCTGTAAGGAGAAACAGGATGTCTTTCAGTGGATAATCAGCAGTCAAGATACAAATAGCCCCAAGTTGAATGGGTGCAGCCCTATTCCAGCACAGGTAACAGTCCACATGGAGTAGAGAGATTCTAGCCCTTGGTGTAAACTGGGCCTGATATTGACTAATGAACTCTTATTATAATGGGACTTTCACCAGGGTTGTTCTGGAGCTGAGTTTACCCAGTTAACATCATGGGACCAAGGGTCCATCGTTGTCACCACACTAGCCAAAGTGGATGAGGAGCTAGAAGGTGTGGATGAAAGGTGGAAATCATAAACATCCCCTCTGGCTTATGATACTAAAAATTATCTTTGAGAGGGGTCATTTCCTGCCAACAGAATATGCTATTATGATTCATCTATGGAAACACTTCTCTTTGCAAAAAGACATATCCACGTTTCACTCATAGCTTTCCTTCAATATGCTTAGAATTCAAGAGATTTGGAATAACTGACTGCCCAAATGCAAAGAAAACATGACGAACAAATCTCTGCTCAAATAAGAACCAGATGTTCTTTCTATATCATTCATAAAAGCTGATCTTCAAAGCCTTAGCACTTTCTATTAGCTCTGTGTTGGTAATGGTACAGGTCACATCATACAGTCATTACACACAATCCCTTTTAACAGAGTGATGACATTTCATTTGGTTTGGAACAGCAGTCTCAATGTTTTCCCCCACTGACAGAAGTGATTGCCACATGTAGCTGTATAAGCAACTAACTCCATTTCTATAGGTAGCAAAATTATTTAAGGATCCCTGGGAAGAGCTAAAAGACAGATCAGGTTCAACTGCTATGCCCCTGGGACATGCTACCTATCTCCCAACCTCTACCATAAATATTGAGATAGACATACCAGATGTTGCTCAATTCCAGAAGCAAGGATCACATTTACTACAAGGCGGACAAATTCTTTTCTGGCAGGATGTTTTGGTACAGGGCTATTAAGATCAAATATCACCAATTTTTTTTCCTTTTGTGCAAGTTCCAATAAATCAGTTAGTTTTGGAATCTTCTGATTTCCTGCTTTTTCTTTATCAGCCTCTGATAGGGGTTTCATATGGTAAAATGGTTTGATCTAAAAATAAGTACATCAGAGAAAACATTGGCTCCTATCAAAAGCATCTTCCAATTCTCCTGCTCTTTATCCCCACAGCCAGTGCTATGTCCATGTTGGTCCATTACTATTCAACCCATCAGGTCCTCTGAAATACTGGTCCTGAGATAAGAGTTTCAAAGAGAGAAATTAAATGTCATCTCCAGAGGTAATTATGGTACTTGGAATCATTTATTCTAAATCATAGAGCCTGCACTGAAGGTCCTTCCTGTTCTTGTCTTGAACTTCCTTTCTAACCCTTCTTTTTTTTTCTATAACTCAGGGTAATACAATCCATTTCAGTTGCATTGGCTTCCCACATGTTCTCTCACTGTTCTAGTTTTGTGTAATGGAAAGAAAATAAGCTTTGGCTTCAAACTGAATTGGATTCAATCCCAGCTCCAGTGCTCATTTGTCTTCCTGGCTATATCCACCTG